CTGCTTGGACAATTTCTTTGTATACCTCCCTGTACAATTCCCTCCTGTACAATTCCTGTTAGACATCAGGAGAACTGAGCAACAGGGCTTGTGACATGTCCACATTCCTGGAAGGAAGAAAGCTCAGGTAGCTCCAGAGGACATCTGGATCTCTTGGCTACACTGGTGCTAGCGAACTAAACAGTGACAGTGTCCATCCTCTGGCTTTGATGCTACCTGGCGTGATCTAGTCACCTCCATGCTATTAAGCTCCTTCAACCCTCAAAGCCGGTTGGCCCCATTCTGATGCCTGTTGGAAATGCTCTGTGCTCATTCCCAAGCTGGGAGCTGCTAGCTGGCTGGGGCTGCAGCTGTGCCAAGTGCTGTTCTTCCAGCATCACGGCACAGACCAGTGTCCCAGTGCCTCCGCCTGTGCCTTGACTCTGTTTAGTTTTCTTGTACAGGAATAGCCCTTGTGTCCTATTTCACTAGCTTAAGTGCAAGGTCACCTGTTCCCTACGCTAGCTTTGTTCTCTAAGGTCAGCAGGGTGACTACAGACACTGGCACAGCGGAAGAAAAGATTTGATGCATTGTGTCTGCTTTAAAATAATTTTTACTCATGTCAGTTTGCATTTCCAAGCCTACTAAATAGGAAGGGCAGACAGTTGATTTATAACAGTCATTCTAAACAATGGAAAAAAAATCATTCAATAAATCCTAATTTTTTCATTAATTGCAGGACTGAATGAAAGCTCCTTAGGGTTGTTTTTCAAATGTGAGCAGGAGCAGAGATTAGACAACTCTAAAGATCAAATACTTCACTGCAACATTAACTGTACTTTTAAACTGCTGGCAGGGATCCTGGAGAGTCGCGTGGTTGTTACACCAGTACACAAAGAATGATTTACAGGACTGTCTCTGATCGCTGTTTTTCAGAAGAACTGAATGCACAGGCAGCAGCACTATTGTACCATTACCAACTCTGTTGCAACACATTGTTGACTTCTCTGCTAATGAAACATACTGTTTTCCTGTGGCAATTCCTATTACTGTGTTTCTGAGATTTATTATTTAATCATGGAACTTTGATTATTTTTAAGAAAGGAAGAAAAGGAAAGAGAGAGGGAGAGAAAGAGGGAACAAAAGTGAGGGAAAGAAAGAGAGAGAAAGAAGGAGAAAGAAAGAGAAAGAGAAAGAGAAAGAAAGAAAGAAAGAAAGAAAGAAAGAAAGAATGA